GAGGACACCGGCTCACTTTGTGTGGAGGATGTGTGAGGAGAAGCTGCTGTTAGATCATTTGAACTGACAGTCGGGCTGAAATCAGACACTTTGATTTCTGAATGATGTTTACGTTTTATTTCAGAACTCAAACCATCATTGTGCACACACACATCCTCCGCAAGGAGTCATTTTTTGAATCTTCTCCCCCGTGAGCCCTGCAGCTGGTTGTTCCAGGACGGCGCATGTTGGTGGTCTCTAGGGAAACGCTGTACCGCTGGTTGCTGGGATGAGGAGGGCTGTTCTCTGACGGGAGGGGCTGGCAGCGGAGCGAGAAGACGCTGCTGCAGCTGTGGAGCGTCTCTGCTGTTGCCTCTGGCCACACTCTCTCTCCAGCAGGCGGGAGAGGAGGAGTGCGGCTTGATCAGATGGCGCACAGTCTCCGACAATCTTCCGACTTCTTCGATTTCTCGAGCATGGCCTTGAAATTGGCTCGGAACAGCACGTCAGTCGTGATGGGGCCCTCCAGCAAGTCCTTCTGCAGCTTCTCCGGCAGGGAGGGGAAGTGATGGAGCCAGGTGGACCTCTGGATCATCGTCATCCAGGCTGCGATGCGAGACAGGCAGACAACAGAGGAGGCGCACAGGTTGAAGATGACGTCAGACGCCTTGCAGAGGGAGCTCTCTTCGTCTCCTCAGGCAAGTATGTTCCCTCCAGCCTCTTTGAGATGCTGTACGCCAGCAGTGCAACGTTGTTGTTCACTGCGGCCACCTGGAACGCATACTGGTGAGCTCAGTTGGAGAGTGACGTCACCATCTGGTCATGCTTCCCTGGAGGTACAGGACGCTGGTCCAACCTGGACATCTTCGCTCCGAGAGCCTCCGCCAGGCTTGGCTCCAGGGGGGGCACCGAGGGAAAATTCCGCTCAGTAAACCCCTCCACTCTGGTGATGGGCGCGAATGTGGAAACCCGCGCTTTCAGTCTACCAGGTCTGGCTGCAGCCTCGTTCCAGTAGGACGTCACTGCTGGGAAACGAGGCCAGATGGGATCAGGACGGTGAGCCGGGGTGGAGTCAAACCTTCACGCTAGATCATCCGATCTGGGCGGGGGGAGGAGAGGGACGGAAAGTCCCTTTGTGTCAGCCGCCTCCTGGATTATGCCAGGCAGCTCTGAGAGGAGGGCACCGAAGGCTGGGAGCAGTGTGGTCACCCCCCACCCCCACCCCCCCCATTCCGATACTATGCTCTCCAGGAGGGAGTGAGCAGCGGGGCTGCTGCTGATGTCACCTGTCCCGGAGGAACCATCCGATTCGCTCCTAGAGTCTGCGTTAAAGAAGTCGATGGCTTCGTCCAGCGAACAGTCCCCTGCCACAGAGAGGCACTCCTCGACGTTAGCCTTGAACAAGGCTGCTCGCCTCTGCCTCTCCTCCGGGGGGACGAGGTCACAGAGGTGGCAGGAGGAGGCGAGGTCGGCATGGCGGGGACCCACGCATCCTTCGCAGATGTCGTGCCGGTCAAAACTCAGTATGTAGCCGGTCTTGCAGGACGGACACAGGTGGATGATGTTGGTGCTGGACATTGCATTGTTTGAAGCTCAGTGCTATTAGCTTGCTGAAGAAAAATGGGAGCCGATTACCCGCTCTTAACGTACTTTAAACGGACAGGGTGGGGCCCACACAACAGGTGGGCATGGACTAAACTTTTCAGTGCGATGCTTTGTATGACGGGATAAACCCACCAGCGACAGCTCTTAAAGGGCGAAATAGAATCAGGTCTCTCTTGTAAATGAGTCCCCGAGGCTCAATGGGGTTAATCTGTCTAAATAAAGGTTGAATCAATATAATTATAACCTCCCCTCAAAGTCTTTGAAGGAGAAACGCAATAGCTTTTGATAAAAATGTCAACACCTTGTTTTACACAAACACCATTTCTTTTAGCAAAATGCAAGTTTGATCCTGACAACCCATTATTACATGCAAAAACATTTGTTGAAGCTCTGTCCAACTTGGGGTGGGGGTAACTTCCTTTGTTACTACAGCAGCCACAGTTCTGTAGTGAGGTAAAGTTCACTCTTAGAGCTTTCTGCTCAGAGACTGCCTAACAATTTTCAGTTAGGTCATCTGGACGGTTTATTTATTTGTGCTGAGAAGTTTCGCCGCCCATCCAGAAGGCTTCATCAGTCTGAGGAAACACCAAACAAAACTGCTTCTCCCCCAATAGCTTACTTCATAGTGGGAAAAAAAAGTTCTGTCGGTGCTAAGATAGTCTCCTGGGCACACCCTCTCCTCAAGACCCCACCCTCTCCCTTGTTGACAGTCATGTCAAACTGGTTCAAAACACCAAAGTCCATGCGCAATAATCCATGTATAAAATCCAACAATTTTCAGTCAGGTCATCTGGACAGTTTATTTATTTATTTTTTTTTTGGGCTGAAATCTTTCACCTTCCAGGCAAAAGGCTTCATCAGTCTGAGGAAACATCAAACAAAACTGCTTTTCCCCCAATAACTTACTTCAACGTGGAAAAAAATTTATGTTGGTGCTAAGATGGTCTCCGGGGCAAGTCCCCTCTTCCGGTGTCTTTTGGACTTTCTATCTACAGTTTGTCTTTTGTTGGATCTTGGATATACGCTACAATACACAATTGTATTTGTCCATGAAACCCGATGATTCCAATCACTTACTTAGACTACAAGCAAGTCTTAAAGACATAAAAGCCTGGATGACACTAAATGTTCTGCTTTTGAATAAAGACAAGACTAAAGTTTGGGTTTTCGGACCTGAGCATCTTAGGAATAATTTTTTCAGTCGTTTGCCCTCCTTGAATAACAGTTATCTGGCCTCCAGTTCTAATGTTAAAAATCTTAGTGTTATTTTTGATCAGGACATGTCTTTTAACCCCCACATTAAAAACATTACTAGAACCAACATTTCTTCCACTTGCGCAATTATTGCTAATATTAGAAACATCTAATTTAAAACTGATGCAGAAAAACTGGTTCATGCATTTGTCACATCTAGACTGGACTATTGCAATGGTTTATTATCTGGGTGTCAAAATACTTCTTCAATTCAATTAAATTCAAAAATACTTTATTAATCCCAAAGGGAAATTATTTGTTGTTGTAACTCATTATCCTCATTTCATTAAGAGATGTTATAGATGCTGATGGCTGTAGACAGGAATGATCTCTTGTAAAGGTCCATCCCACAGTGGATCCTAAGAAACTGGCTGCAGATGCCGTCCGATCCATCCACCCAGACTCGGCTGGCCTCTCAGTTCCCCCCGGGCTGTAGGACAGCGCGAATGTCGGGCAGAACGCCTCCCAGAGCGATGACCACTCCTCCCAGCGGTCTGCCGAGCTCCTCGTCACTGCGGACAGCCAATTGTAGGTGCCGAGGGACGATCCTGTCCTTCCACTGTCATGAGCCGTGTTTCCTGCTAGTTCCAGGATCTCAGTGGTCAGGCACTCGAGCACAGCTGGCAGGTAGATGAGAATGCGTCCACAGAACATCCTTTTCAACTCAATTAAGATTTAGGGCTGTAGTTGAGATATTATTTGAGCTTTTGAGATGTTAATCAGCTGCTGTTGGTTGTAGAAAACTGCCTTGTTGCCATGGTTACGCATCATAACAAATGTCCAAAACTAAAAAAGTTTCAGTAAAAATCCTTCCAGCTGCACAGCATCTGATACCAGAGGAAACAATCATCCAAAAAATGTGATTTACATCCAGAAAAAGAGGAATTTATGTTTCCAAAAGCAAAATCTCAGAATGAAAGTAACAGAGCTGCTCCAACATGCAGCCACCTTGAGCGGCACAATTCTTTAAGTTCTTTTCTTTCTTTAATTCAATTCTTTAAGTTAATCCAAAAAGTCTTCAGTTAATCCAAAATGCTGCTGCCAGAGTCTTAACTAGAGTAAATAGGAGAGATCATATTTCTCCAGTTTTAGCTTTTCTCTGTTGGCTTCCTGTCAAATTGAATTCAAAACCTTACTTCAAACCTACAAAGCTCTCAACAGCCTATCTCCATCTTATGAGAACCTACTGTTCCATATTTTCCTAACAGAGCACTCCACTCTCAAACTGCAGGCTTACTTGAGGTTCCTAGAGTTTCCAAAGGCAGAATCGAAGGAAGATCTTTCAGTTATCAGGCTTCTCTTTTGTGGAACCAACTTCCATTTTCTGTCCATAAGGCAGACACATTGTCCAGTTTTGAGACTGGGCTTAAGACTTTCCTTTTTGATTAATCCTATAATTAAGATTGGCTTGTTGTGCTGCCATAGGCTTTGACTACTGGAGGACCTCATTTACCTAATTTTGTTAAATGAATTGTTCAAATTGAATAGTTTTCATTTGATACTATTTCTATTTTAACGTGATTCTTGATCTGCCATTGTGTATCTGTTCCTCCTTCCTGTTCCTTTCAAACACAGCCAGTCGAAGCAGATGGCTGCTTGTCCTGAGCCTGGTTCTGCTAAAGGTTGCTTCCTCATGAGGGAGTTTTTCCTTTCCACTGTTGCCTTCGTGCTTGCTCAAGATGAGAGTTCTGTGATGGAGTTAAATTCAAAACAGTCTGCTCGTCAGGTAAATAGTGTTAACTTACTTTTTATATATATGAATGTTTCTGTTCAGTGCCCTGAGATGACTTCTGTTCTGACTTGGCGCTGTATAAAGTAACTGAATAGAATTGAATTGACCTGGAGGCCGACTTGCCGACGGCTGACTGTGGAGCACCCACACTGAACTCTGCTGCTGTATGTCTGCAGATTATTCTATTCCAGGCTGATTCTGTGGCAATGTTCTCATGCATATGCATTTACTGTATGCATCTATGTATGCAACCTGTCCTGAATGCAGTCCTTGCAAGTAAAATGCTGGTTAAAAATAATCACCTGCCATAATTTGTGGTTCTTTTGGGTAAACAACATTAGTGAGAGATATTTTCTCCAGTACAAATGAAAACTGAAAGCATCCAAACCTGGTAATTTTTCATTGTTTGTACATGGAGATGTTTACTTACCTCAAATGAGAGTCCTGAGGCATAAGGTAGAAATGGGCTTGGCGCTGCCCTCTGGAACTGCAGCAGACACTTGTAAATCTGCAAAGAAAAACGTAAGGACTTTTGTAATCTGTTAATTAAATATAAAGATGATTTGACAGTTTTACTAAAGGAACAGTAAAACACATACCCTTAATAAGGTACGAAGCCATGGAGCACTCAGGAGTTCATGAAGAATATGAGCGCCACTAATGTTTCTGTTGGCGGCATCGCTGACATCCTCCACCATGCTGGACAGCACATCACTGATGTCTGCACACACACATACACAGACCTCTACATGTGGTTTGTGATGATGATGTCAGTTTGAAAACATGGATGGTTGTTATTTCTTTATTGAATTGTTTTAGTATTTTGTGTATTGTCAGACATATAAGAGAATCTCTACAAAATGAATAAAGTACATACAGTATTTCCACCTTTCAGCTATTTTTTAGTTTTGCTTACATACACCAGAATTTTCAAATGTTATCATATGTTCCATATTTTCTGCCGTATACTTTGCTCTGGTGTATGCTGCATCAGTCCAAAAATGTCTAATATAGAGAAAAAAAACAGAAGTCGCTTTGCCGTAAAGGTCGTATTTTTTATGTGTCACCACTGACGTGTCGTGTGCGTCACTGCTGCCGACCCAGAAACGTAGGCCCATGTCATGCCAAAAATCCACTGGCCGCCAAATGGCAGTGGCAGGAGCACGCGCGGGATGACTTTAACAAGAATTAACAACATTAACACTTAAAAACAATTATTTGTTTGCTCGACATTATAGCAAAGGTGTGTCTAAGTTTAACATTTTTTTTATTTCAATTCTCAATTCAACCTATATTTAAACAGATAAGTATCATTGAGCCTCGAAGACTCATTTACAAGTGAGACCTGTTTGGACAGATGTAAAATGTGGTGACAATGACACATAGGGTTTGGAGACAAAAAAAAATCCTAACACGCTTTTAATCTTTGTTTGAATGTCAACAGCATGATAATGAAATAAAATCTCAAACATAAGCACATAATGACATGGACAATCCACAACGAGGGGGTCCGCAAGGACGGTGAGCATGTCCAGAGACAAGACACAGAGGTACTGCAGAGTTCAGATAAGATCGCTCAGTTCAAATAGTCCCCTCTGGAGAGATCCGTACACACTCGGGGTGTGTCGAGGACAACCAAGTACGAATCCAGAGAATCCTGAAATGATGACAGAATATTTATTCAGCTGGGCCCCTCTGAAAAGTTCATGGAATTCCTCGTTAGGAGGGGAGGAGGGCAGAGCATCAGGTTTACAAAACTTCCTGTCAAAGCTAGTCATGGAGCCAAATTCAGATAAACACGTTTGTTTTGGGGACAGGCAGAACTTTAATGACATCTACATTGAGTCTGTGTCGGCCCACTCGGTTCTGAAACGTCCAAATTAAATGACCAGGCCAATGGACCATGCCTGAGAATAATCCCTGAGATCTGATCCATCCTGCCAAAAGCAAATGAGTCCAGGTGCTCGAGGCACGAACCTAGTCATTATTAGGCAAGCAGCCTGATCAGGTCCAAATTTGCTACCGACGACTTCCTTAATTGTTGATAGACCAGGAATCAGCCGAATCCAAAAAGCAGGAACCAGTTATCATAATTCCAATTATATACATGTCCTTAAAATCCATCAATGGCAGCAGAGATAAATACAAATGAACTTCAAGTCAAATGAGACTAACCTGGATAAATAAAGGCTAAATGAAAAAAAAAAAAAGTCGATGAAATATCCAGCTGCGTGTGTGCCAACAGGGAAAATCGGCTCACCTAAAGCCAGTCTTCTCTTCGAAGAAATATTATCAATTGTGTTGAGGGACCAACTGACCATCCATCCATTTTCTTTACCCGCTTCTTCCATTTTGGGTCACGGGGGTCGCCGGTGCCCATGTCCAGCAATCACTGTGTGAGGGGTGGGGTGCACCCTGGATGGGTTGCAAGTCCATCACAGGGACACAGAGAGACAAATGAGACAAACAACCATTCACGCTCTCTCTCTCTCTCTCTCTCTCTCTCTCTCTCTCTCTCTCTCTCTC